AAATTCAGGAGAATTCATATTAAAACAAAAGTCATTCATATATTATCTAAATTGAGTATATTGAAACTAAAGTTATTTATATATCATCATCTGAGGTCTTTCTCCTTGTATAATGCTGCTGTAACTGAGCCTTGATCACAGAGAGTGTTGGGGGTGTGTATTAGCATGCCTTGGCCATCTTGAGAGTATTTATTTTCAGTTTCAGAGAAATGCTTTTGAGAACAATTGATATTTAGGTTGGGTAGCAACAGAAACAATGAAGGAAATGGGAGGTTATATGGTGTACAGGCACAATGCATCACATTCTTGACTGCAACTTTCATGAATGGGTTCTGATTTCTGCTCAGCCCCAGGTAAGCAGCATTATTCACATTTATTTTCCTTTACTTTCAATGATTGATGCAGCTACTTCTGTGGATGCAGAGTGGGCATTCTCCACTGGTCACAATCAGATCAATTTCACCCAGCACAATATCAACTTTCAAACATTCAGAGCAGAAATGGCTCTTAGATTCTGGATTAAATTCCCCTTCTACCCAGCTTCAATAAAGTTACACAAATGATTGAAAAAAGATGGACAATGATTTCTTTTCCTCTTAAATAGGTTTTTGTAACACATTGTGTCACCAAAATTGTTCTTTCAATACCTCTGGGTTCATCAAGGTAAATTTGAATGTTCTCCTGTTTTTTTATTGGGGCATATTGTGATTGCTTTCACTAAAAATTGAATTCATTAACAGGATTTCAAAGATTTCTGGTGACAAGCTTGGGTGACAGCTGGGAACAAAGCCCAAGTCACAATTTGGACCCCTTCCACAAGCAGCAGGGGCCAGGAAGTTGTTGTGATAGCATTCTGTCGTGGTGGAAGGGAGTTGGGGGTACAAATAACACTCTTATCTATTCCGGGCACGTATGCTCAAAATATCTCAAGAAAGGTCTAAAAATATCTAATTTACCCATGGATACCTGCGGATAGTCCGGGTACTTGGTTGAGAAAATTTAAGATTAGATAATATTTGTAAACTATGACATCATCCTCAAATATCATTGTATTCAGGCTCATCTACATGTTTGGGAGCTTATTAGGAGCTAGTAGGACTCAAATCCTGCAGAGGATGGCCTTCTGGGACCATTTCAAGATAATTTCATAAGGGGTTCCATTTTTTTTTTAGGTGGCCTGCGGCCGACCTACCTACTTACCCGACCCCTGGTCGGACTTTCAAATCCTAACACCCCTTGTATCGAAGGTCGAAATTTGGTCGAGGATGACAAAGGCGCGGGGCGAGCCGGCCCAACGACCTCCGCCAAATAATCAACTTGGATCACAACTCGTCTTCCGCTGTTGCATTATCGAACTTGGCGAACGGTATCATCATGTATCTGAATACAGGATGCCACTGCGAGCACAAATGAACCATATCCATTTACCACAGCAGCTCCCAACCCACGTTCTCCTTGGTTTTCCTCAGCCCAGCCATCGCCCATCTTTCACGCCGCTCACTCCTACAGTGACTCAATCCGATATCGAAAAGCTTTTGCTGTACGAGGACTTAAGCTTTAAGAGGCAG